CAGCCCAGCTGGTGCAGGGCGAGGGTGTCCCGTACCAGCCCGACCCGGGCTACAAGCGGGTGAGCATGCGGCTGAGCGTGGCCCAGCCCTCCTATGCAGACTGCGAGGTGGGCCACCAGCCCAGCATCCGAGCCCAGCCCCTGCCACCCCCCAACTACGAGGGCTCTGACATGGTGGAGAGCGACTACGGGAGCTGCGAGGAGGTGATGTTCTAACGGGGGCTCGCTCTTGAGACGGGAAGAGAAGCAGAACAGTGTGCAGGGGGCTGGCACGTGCTGCTGAAGGGAGGCTGCTGTGTGCCCCCCACAGCTTGCAGCATCTCCCCCTGCATGGCTGGGTTGTAATTTGGCTGGATCTTTCCCCTCGCTGCCCTCCATGGTGCTCCTGCTGCAAATGGAGGGGAAATGCTCCAGCCACTGCTGGGACACGGAGGATGCTCCTGGGATGCCAGTGACTAACCTGCCTCCTTACCAAGGGGCCTTCCCCATCATGTAGGGCCACAGCATGCCACCTCCTCCCACCCCAGGCTCCCTGGCCAAGGGGAGGATGAGGAGCAGGGCAAGCACTGCAGATATGGCAGCAGTCGTGGTGGAGAAGGTATGAAAGGACTAGTGATGCACAGCCTGGCAGTGCCCCACGTGGGGTAGCAGAGGCCCCCTGCCCCCAGCTCTGGCTTCAAGGGCTTGCATCAAGCCAACAGTTTGCCCAGTGAATGGATCAGCTGGTGCAAACCCTCTTCCATGTCTGCTCCCTGATACTGGGAGAGAGATGAGGGAATGCAGCTGGTCCCTTCAGCACATCCCTCACTTGGCCAACAGAAGTCCAAGGGGAAGAAAAAAAAAAAAAAAAAAAAAAAAGAGTTCATTTCTGTAGAAAACCAAGCAACAAGGTTTGTCACACCAGGAACCACCCATAGACTCAAACCAGTCTGCCCAGTGGGGCTGTGCTCACACAACTGAGGGAGACCCTGCCTCGAGGGCTGTGTGCACAGCTGTGTACCCGTGGCTGTCACAGTCCTACCCTGAACACAGCAGGACATGGTCCTGCCCCCCAGCTGGGGCTCCTGGTGCATCCCAGACAGACTGGCCAGCACCACCTGGAGACAGGGCACCGAGGCCACTGAGCGTGGGTTTGCCTGTTTGTCCTTGTGCTTGGAAATGTATCGTTTCTTCGTGAGAGGTTTTCTTTGGTTGGTTGTTTGATGTAACTTTTTTTTGTTGTCGAATTTTTTGAAAGTATTAAAAGAGTTTGGATTTTTGTACTATTATGATTTTCTTTGATATCTCAGGGATCCCCTTGTAAATAGATAGGAACATCCCTGCCTAGCTCCAGCCAAGGGCAGCCCAGGGAATAACAGCTTATTTTGGACACCAAAAGCTTTCAGAGAAGTATCAAGACAGCAAGTGTCCCAAGCCCAGGACTCACCCAAAACACCCCAGGCACACAATATCCTACCTGTTGTTTCCAGGGGAGCTCATCACACGGAGAGGCTGGGAAGGCACCAGCAGGATCACCCTTCTCCTGCCTGAACTGCTGACTGCAGGACAACCATCCCCTGGCATGGCCAGACCTCCTACCACAGCTGGGGTTAATCTCAAATTAAAATCAGGGGTGGGAGCACTTGGCTGCACTTGTGCAGGTCTCCAGCTCAGCTTTCCTCTGCCAAAGTGGGCTTGAGAGCTTTGCAGTTCCCTGGGGCTATTTTAACAAAACTCTTAAGTGCAAACAAGTCCCCACAGCAGGCTCATCCCCCTGTGTGCTGACAGAACAATGCTCTGCTAAGTGACACCTGGGAAGGAGCAGCCTCAGCAAAGCCATTTCATGGTACAGGAACAGCCTTGTAGCACACAGCCCTAAGGAAGGATGGCTGCAGATCCAACCATGGTAACTCTGCATAGTCACGCCTCCCAAACACCAGGAGCTGCCTGCACTCTGCCGCCCCTCCTGCCCTGGGGTTCAGGTGACCTTGAATCCACACTTCTCATAAGTCTGCAAAAAGCCTTCCACTTTAAACCTTTTCTTCCAGAGCTTCAAAAGATGAACTTTTTAAAGCACTGATTTTTTTTTCCAGCAGCCCTCTAATGACACACTGCAATGGCATGAATTATTCAGCAGCGTGAGGATAAGCCGAGCTGCAGCGATGCTGGCACAGCACCCCTCTCCCTGCGTGGGCTGACTTTTGCTCCTTTGATCTCTTGGGCGGATCAGCAGCAGCTCAGCATCCCCCATTGGCACGTGCTGGGCTCTTTTTTGAGCTGCAGCCCCACTTTTGGATAAATCAGGCTGCTGGGTCATAGGACACAGCTGAGAAACCAAGGCACAGCTTTGGTGGGGCAGAGAAGAGCCCAGCCCTGAAAGCCCATATAGGCTCTGCCCACAACCTAGTTGCACAAATGAGGTCAGAAGAAAAATCACAATTTTCCAAGCAGCAAAGCTGAAACACTTCTATTTGAAACCCTCAGGAGAAGGAGAAGTCATGTGTGTGCTGCTGCAGGGTTGGGCACAGCACAGGGTCTGATCCTGGCTGGCTGCTGGGCTCCCCGTGCCCTGCTCTCACACAGATGCCTTTGGGAAGAGAAACCCCCATTCTCGTACCCCAGAGGCTTTACACATAAAAAATAGATCATATTTATTGATTAAAGTAAGATACATGATTCGGGTGCAGCACCAGCTCTCCCACTGGGCAGCTACACACGCTGTACTCTGACAATATCCATAGGCACGAGACATGGACATGACCATTGCTATATTTACACAGACGATTTTCTTGGTTACTGAGCAGCCTACGATACACAAGTGTCAAGTTTTCGTGTCCATCAGGTCCTGTGTCAGCCCCTCCTGGCTCAGCAGAGCCCCTCATGCCATGTGTCCCACCGTCACATCAGGCCCCATCTTCAAACACCCCTGACCACCCCCATAAAAGTGAAGAGCTGCAAAAACCCTTTAATGCTTCTGTGATATCTCTGTCTCCTTGGAAATTAGGTCTTCACTGCACTTCCAAAGTGAGTCTGGATGCCAGGAGCCCCACCAGCAAACCCACTGATGCACAGTCCCAGGCTGGGGACATGCCCTGGCACACAGCTGTCCCCAAACATGTGGCCAGCCTTCTTATGGGGTACTACTGGCAGGGGAGGGGGAAGCATCAGACATCCCCTGCTCCTCACAGCCCTTCATCCTCTGCCAAGGGTGACATTTTTGACTCAAACCCAACCCCCAAGGGCCACACTGGGGCCGGTACACAGCGATGGACATGAATATTGCACTTCTCCCACTTCTCCCACCTGTGTGTTCCCTGGAGCCCCTTCCCAGACCGGGCTGCTTCCTCTCTATCCCCGTGGTGCCCTCCAGAGGGAGGATTTGAATTAAAGCTTTGCTCTGCTCCTGGCCAAGCGATGCTGGTCATGCCAAAACCTTCCCCAGCACAGACTTGGAGGAGACAAGGTGAGTCCCGAGAGAAGCAGAAAGCAGGTGAGGGGCTGGAAAGGAGCAGTGACGTGGCACAGCCCCACCCACACCTGGCCATGGGCCCACATACCAGCATGGGGCACCCAGAACAGAGCCAGCAAGGGGAACACAGTGCAAGACACAAACAGCACACATGGAGGAGACAGGCTGCACGGACGCCGCTCTGCACAGCCTTCTCCTCCCAGAAGCAGATCAAACACCAAAAATAATCCCAAGCCTCACTCATCCTCCACCAAAGATAGGAACACAGCCCATGGCTGCTGTGCCCACCCTCCTTTCCCACCACCACCAGCAGCCTTTGCCCACACCCAGGGAGACAGGGCTGCAGTGGGATGCAGGATACAGGCTCTCCAAAGGAAGCCACAGCGCTGCTGGTGTTTGGGAGATGCCGCTTTAGCAGGGAGGAGTTCGGCCCATTCCACGGAGGATGAATTTTATCCCTTGTCTTAAAAAAATAGAAATCCAGCAGAAAGGCAAAGAAACTCTGTAGGGAGGAAGCTGGGCTCACAGAGGAAGGAAAGCAGCAGGATTGCAAGGACTGTCTCTGCCAGGCATGCACCAGCCACAATGTAGGGAGCAAGAGGAGTGCAGGGAGAAGTGCCAGAGAGCTGCATCCTAGAGGAGGAGAGGAGCTGAGCAGAGACAGAGGATGCAGGAGTGGGACCAGGAAAGAAAGGGTTAAAAAAAGAACTATTATGGAGTTTTTGTGTGTGATTTGACATTCAGTGTCAGCCTGCAGACGCAGCCAGAGCGTGCCAGGGCCAGCTCAGGCACTGTAAACAAGGTGATGTATTTTTGTGGCGTGCAGGCAGCACGTGGTGACCCCTGGGGACACCCCATCCCACACAGGGAAAGGGCTCCCAGCCAAAGGCGACCAGCTCAGCCCCTCATTATGGCACAGCCCGTTTGCTCTCTGCACACCTCGGTTCTCTAACGTTTCCGAAAGCCAAGCATCAGGTTGTGCGCTGGATGGGGATAAAGAAGTGTCACTACTGAAAGCCTGGCCCAGGCCCTGCTCAGCCTTCCTGCTCAAGGCAGCTGGAAACAGAGCTGGAGCACAGCAGGAGCCAATGCCCTCGACTGGGCATCCCACGGCAGGAGAGCTGTGGGCCCCGGGATGCTCCACACCTCCGGCTCTGCCCGCCCTCCCTACAAGGCCAGGGCGAGGAGGCAGCTCCACGCTCACTAACCTGAGCTGAGGTTTGTCTGTTGCTGTAAAAATAAAGTGCTCAGGGAAAAAAAAAAAACCAAACAAACCAAACAACAAACTGGCACAAAAAAGAGCAGTCCCTGTTCCCCGCCCTGACTGTAGGAGCGGGGGAAATATGGAAAGGTTGAGATTTAAAAAAATAAAAATAAAATAAAATCTACATCCCTGGGATTCCTCACCTCCCAAAGTGACTATTTACACAGGTGCCAAGGGGCTGTTTCACTGGACCAGCTGCCCGAGGAGCCTCCAGGGAAGACACCACCCCAGCCCGGATCCCACCTTCTGGATGCATCCCAGCGCGGGGCCCTGCTGCGGCTGGGCGGCTCTGACGGCGGGCAGCCCCGTCCTCTCGCAGACCAAACCCACCACACTCCCCGAGAGCAGAGGGGAGAGGGAGGCCCTTCCCAGGAGAGCAGCGCCCGGTGCCTGCGCGCCCCCAGCACGGCACGCGGGGCGGGGGGGCCGTCACTGCACCGCGACACTGGTGGCGTTGACGATGGTGGTGGCGGGCGCCGCCAGCTCCACCAGCGCCTCGTACGTCCCCACCACAAAGCCCACGAAGCCGAAGAGGCTGATGGCGATGTCCTTGGCGAGGACGAGGGGGTGGATGCCCTCGGCGTAGTAGGTGGCGATCTCCAGCAGTCGGGGGGAAGATGAGAGCCAGGGCGCTGCTGCTGACGGAGCCCACCAGGGAGATGACGAGGTCCAGGCGCGGGACGAGGATGGCCAGCACGCCTGGAGAAGGAACGGACACGGCGTTAGCGCTGCCGGCTCCCAGACACCAAAACCCCACTGCAGGGATGCCACAGGCCTGAGCCAAACCTCTGCCCTCCTCCCTGACAGAAGTCACGGCTGAGTACTCTTCCGTATTTTCCTCCCCTAGAAGCAATCAATCTGTTGCATTAATGAAGTGCACCACAAAGACTAAACCCTTTTTGTTGCCCTGGGCTCCACCAGCACGAGCTCCAGGGCTGAGCAGGATGGGTGCCACGGGCAGAAGAGCGGCTGCCAGCATTCCCGACCCCCCTGCTAAAAGCCAGCACTCCTGTTCCCCACACCTGGGGAGCCATAAAGCCTCAGAAACCCCATAAAAGCAGGAGATGGGAGGAAAAAGGCATCTCTCCCCACCCCAAATCAATCCATGTGGTTTGCACATGTTTAGAGCTGCTCCAGCAGCAGCACGCCCACAGCATAGCCCAGGGGAGAACATTTGTTAGGTGCAAACTGCAGCCAAGGAAAATCCCCCTGGGAGGCTCCTGACAGCTTGCACTTAGTGGTGCGAGCTCCAGGATATTCCTGCTCCCCTTCCTCCTGCACAGGGCCAGGGGAGGACAGAAGGATGGTGCCTTCTCCTCCCAACCAGCCCACAGCCACCACCAGCTCTGGGCTCCTCTCAGGGCACTGCTCTTGTCAGTGTTCAAGGAGCAGATCTGAAATTAAGGATCATCAAGGTCCCATTTGGCAAATGGGAGCTGTGCCCCTCAGCATGCTCATGTTCTGAGTAAGCTCCCCATCCATGACCCCCTGGGCACAGGAGAGCATCCCAGCTGCTTTCTGGTCAAACAAAGCCTGAAGAAAAGGCCACCCACCAGAGCTCTGCACAACACAAGCAAAGCAGACTTCAGCACTTAACCAAAGTCACCAAGAGAAATGAATTGGTTTATAGCTTTGAAAGCTTTGCTTAGAAACAGAAGACACCTAGAACCATGGCAGCTGCAGCTTTGGTGGAGAGGGGATGCATCAGGGCTCCTTACTGGAGGGATTTGTTCACTCCCTGGACATCAGCTGCAGTCTACTGGAGCCTCCCTGAGCCAAAGATCACCCATGGCACTGCAGGAAAGAAGGCTTGGGAGATTGACTGTGCCACCACTGCAGCCCTGCTGTCATCTGGATAAGCCTAGAGACAAACCATCCCTCCACCATGGGAAACAGCAGCAAAGGTCCTGAGCTGCTGACCTGCAGGCAGATAATCCCAGGGCTCAGCCCTGCACAGAGCCAAAGGAGTGCCCTGCCAGGTTTCTGCTGCAAACAGCATCCCTGCTCCAGCAGCCTGGGTGGAGAGCAGAGCAGCCCACCTCCAGCAGCATCCTCAGCCCACCCCACACTGCTCTTTGGACTCAAAAGCAAACAAAATTATTAACTCCCTGCTAAAACAAGCAGAACTGAAGCACCAGCTGCAGTCCTCAGCCTCCGGGGCAACGGTCCTGCTTTCAGCAGGTATTAATTCAAAGGGTTTTTAAGTGTGCTGGTTTTGAAGTCGAAGCTTGAAAGGCACCCAAATACCAAATTGCATCCCCTCCATCTCCCTGTCAGGGAGGCAAAGCCCTGATGTGGGCTTGTTGTGCGGCCACACAATCATCCAATGAATATTCATGCAGCCCCCCTAATTGCTTTTATCCTTCAGCAGCCACAGAGATCCCTTGCTTGGAAGGATGAGGGGAGGAGGTACAAAGGAACCAGCATCCTTCCACCAACACCTCTGCTGCCTCCCTAACCCCAGCGGGAGGGTACAGCCACTGCCGATGCCTAAAGCCATCCCCTCACTCCAAGCCTTCACTTCCCTGACCTGGCACACCCCAATGCCCTTTGGGAGAGGCTCCCACCCCCCAAGCAGGCTCTGAGCACATGGTCCAGCATGGCAGGATTTCATCCCAGCCCCCTCTGTGGACATCAAGGCTTCAGGAACTCTGCTCAGTGGAGATGGGGCTTTTCCCCGCTCTGTTAATGCAGCGCTTCTGGCCCATCGTTAGCGAGAGCCCAGCAACAGCAGCACCTTGCTCTGAGCCAGCTCCAGCACCCTCGAGTTAGCACCACACTCTTCTCAAGCCCGAACCAGAGCCAGCTGGGATGTGGGGCCAGGTCCCTGATGCTTCATCTCTGGTGCATCAGCAGCGTCAAGCCACGGAGAAAAGCTCCATCTCAGCACATGACGCCGGGGAGCTCAGCCAAGCGTCTCCGCTGTGCTGACAACAGCAAGGGTTCAGCCTTCAGGAATCAAGGCCAGCCAAAATCAGATACCCCTGCACCTGATTTGCTCCACACCTTTCCCAGAGGTCCACCAGGAGCCAGCAGCCAGAGCCCTGCTGCACTCCAGGGCTTTGGTTATGGGTCACCTGCCACTGTCAGCTGTCCCCTGCTGTGCTACACCCTGCAGTGCGTGCGTGGGTACAGGAACACCCGATCCCTCACGGTCAGTGACTCCTCTGCAGCCGTGTCCCCATCCCAGAGGCACGAGGAGCCTGGCTGCACACACTGCCTACCGAAAACAGCCTCTGGGCTGGGCTGCCCTGGCACCGAACCAGGCACTGGGCACTTCATGCACAGCCTGATGGGTCTGGATGGCCCACAGAAGTGCTATCAGGAGGATCCCAGGCCTGATGCTCCACAGGGACCTGCCACCTCAAAACAATGGAGGAAGTTTACTACTCCTGCACTGAGAAGACTGATCCCATAGAGAGCGGGCAGAGGACCACTGCTGCTGCAGCCCAGAGGCCACCTTGGCCCACTGGCTTGCAACAGCCAGGCCCAGGGACTGCCAGCTGGGAGGGCTTGAGCAGCAGGGCCAGAGGCACTGGGGCCAGGGGCGAAGGCTCACACCAACGCCAGCCCACAGCGGGAAGGAGGTGCCAGGTCCTCAGAGGGAACCTCAGACAAGCTGCTCTGTACTCACATGTGACACAGACCAGGGCCACCCTGAGGAGCAGGTTGACCACCCAGCCCCAGCGCTCCGACACCCGGGCCACGAGGGGGGGGATGATGATCTCGGCGGGCACGTAGAACTGCACGGCGTACGTGAAGAAAATCCCGACGGAGAAGAGCAGCTTCACAGCATGGTACAGCCTGAAACAGGAGAAGGACACAGTGAGACGGGCTCTTGCTCCATCCCCCACGGCATCAACGGCAGAAATTTGAAGAGGAACGCTCTGCAAGGACTTTTGTGTGCCAGTGGTCTGTCCTAGAAAATTAGTGCTGATGCATTTAACTCACAGAGACCTTTCTTGAGCAAGGGATAGCAAAGCCAGTGCAATCTCCAAGCTGTGGCAATGTGTGCCCCCACACCTAACCAGAGGCTTCAGTCCCGGCTTTGCGTAAGGAACCATCAGACCAGGAGCTGGGCTGGCAGTCTCTCAAGTGCTGCTTCCCCTTGGGAAAACCTGTGGGAACAGATGAACTGAGAGCAACCAGCAGACCTGCTGACCTGCTCCCAATTCATTCAAAGGCACAGGGAAATCAGAAGTGTCCCTGGCCAAGTGACCAGGAGTCTAACTTGTTCCTCAACATGTTAAGGCACCTTTCTACATTTCTAGATGCTCACATGTGCCACTCTGCCCTTGGCTGCACAAAGTAACACGTCCTTTGGGTACCTTGCTCCCTACAGATAGGATAAAGGCTCTGTACCACCCTCTCCACTTCCATCTGCTTCAGTCCAGGCTGGACTCTGCAAGGTCTGCAGTGACACAGGGTGGCCTTTCCCACAACTGCCCCCCACAGACAGCACCCAAATGAACACTGGTACCTGCTACCCAACCCCAGAAGTTCCTCACCTTGACCTTTGATAGCAAAATCCAGCCTCTGAGCTGAAGAAAGAAAACCACCTCCTTTTCTCCTACTTGTAACCAGCTGGATTTTATTCTCCATATTAAAACAGAAGATGAAGAATAACTTGAAAGAGGCATCAGCTGCAGCCATGATTACAGATTCCAGTTACTTCTGGGTTTCTGAGGAGGGGGAAGAGGACAGCACTGCTGGGATTAGTCTGGGCTTCCAAAGCAAAATGATGTGAACATCACAATGTTCCAAAAGCAAAGGGATGTGAACAGGCAACTCAGCCTTCTCCATCAAACAAAAGAAGGGCAGCTATTTTTGGATGCTGCATAGTACATTTGTGGGGGGAAAGGCATTTAAAAGAGCAATCTGGGCTGAGCAGAAGGCAGGCAGAGTGCAGACAGGCTGCAAACAGCACTTCAGGCTCACCCCAAGTCAGATCTTCACAGATCCTGCAGTGATGCACCCTGGCTGCAGGAGGGAGACCACCACAGATGACCCAAAAGCCACATCCCAGCTCTATCTCTGTCCTCAGCTTCCCAGCAGTAGAAAAAAACCTCTCCAAAAGAGAATTAACATCTAGTTACCTCACATATGATCCCAGCCCTTCCCTGACTCAAGATATGCTGACCAAGCAGGAAATATGGGTCCTGGCCATACCACTTGGGTAGGTATGAAGTGGATCCAAGCTGGGGAAGGTATCAGAAGAAGGGCCTGGAGAAGTGGGGAACATCTGTCCTTACTGATACTCAACATTTAAGCTGGCCCCGCTTTGGCAGGTGAGAGGACCCAGTGCCCTCTCCAAACCCAGTTACCCTGTGATTCCATAGGCAAACTGAACACAAAGTTATCACCAGAGTCCAGAGTGTGCCTGCTCAGCCACATTTGATGAGTGCACAGTAGCTTTGAGCTGCCAACCCAAGGATGGCATTTCTTATCATTGTATTCCCAGCTAAATGATGCTGTAAAGCCATAAAGTGCCCCAGGGCAATCCACAATCCATAACTGTTGCTAAAAAAAGTACAGAAGAAGGCTGTGTTCCTGTCCTGCACAGGTCAGGAGCCAGGGCCAACAAGCTCAAAGGGCATTTTAAATACCAAGAAGAGGAAGAGCTCAAGCACCAGCTTTGATCTACAGAAAACACAAGTCCGTGCAGGGCCCTGGAAAGGCACTGCTCTGCCAACCACAGCAACGCCTTCTTCACCTGGACTGCCAGGTCAGGCCACCCCAAAAGGCTGCAAGAAATGAAATACCCTCTTGGGACCATAAGCTCTGTCATTACCTACTTCAACCAGCCACATGCAGCTCAACAGCTTCCCCTCACTACAGCATTTCTTCACTCTCCAGATGGTGTGGTGAAGCAACCCTTCCGAGGAGGCAAGGAGGGATTTCTGCACAGCAGCACCGTGTTTGGACACTGTGGTTAGACCTGGGCACTGGGAACTGACACACTCCTGGCTTGAGGAAGCTGAGGTTATAGAAATGAAGGCTGGAAAAGTCCTTAGTCATCCTGTAACTCAACAATTCCTGAGACATTCATCAAGTCTGTTCTAGACACCTCCAGCCAACAGCTACAGCACCTCCCCCCAGTCCTCACCTTGTCTCCCATGCTGCAGGCAAACCCCAAGACTTCTCACCCACAGCCCTATCAGCACTTTTTGCAGCCCAGCACCTTTTACTGCCAGGGAGAAACCCAGAGGTGAGGCAGGACGGGTAAAACACTCACTTCAAAAGCAGGTCTTCACCAATCACCTATGGTTTATTGTATGGGAACACAGCAGTCAAGGCTTTATCCCAAGTATCCCAGCCCTTACTTGAGATAAGTCATTTCCAAGTCTAACATTTATAGCCTGCTTTGAATGTTCTGCCACGAGACAACATGCACAAACACCAAAGTGCTCTGTGTGCCCAGTCACAAGGACCACAGCATGCCTTCCCTGGCAGCTGCCCACAAGGAGCCCTGCCACATGCCCAGGCTTCCCCAGGCACTGCTTCCAAAGGGCTATTCTCTTCTCACGACCCAAAAAACCCTATAGTTACTTTCAGAAAAGTACTTAGACAGAAGGTGTGGATACTCCCAGAAACATGCATTTGCAATAGAACCTCTCTGTAGCCTAGCAGGTCACAGTAATCCCATTACCTTCTTTTTAAGGGAACATCATCCTTTAGAGCAATCAGAGCTGAGATTCCCTGCAGAAGCCCCTGTGCAGCATTTCAGGCCAGCAGACATCGTTGCAGGCTGTGGCATGCAGAGCCCAAGACCTGGAAATGACCTGGTTTCTACCCTCAGGAGAACCAGCAGCACTTCATCCCCTTCACAACATACTTCAGTTTACTGAGCAGAAGGGATTCACACCTGCTGTGCTTGGCACGGTGGGATTCAGACCTCCCTACAGCACAGGCACACCCTTCCAGCAGCCCCATCCCTCCCCACTGAGAGCAGGGACCTGGCAGAGCTCCCAGCTCCTGCAGGGGACAAGACAAGGCTCTCAGCAGGAGCAGGACCTTCTGTCACACCACCACCAACGTCCAGCAGTGCAGTCACTACAAAGACCCAGCATGAGTGAACATCCATGAGCTCTAACTGAAAGAAACCCACACAGCAATAATTAAACAAAACCAGGCTCTGTTTTTGTCAAACCTTTGCTTTCTCCAGAGCCTCAGCTGCACAGCTCTGCAGGGTCAGCAGGAGGAAGCCCACCAGCAACTCAAAACTTGAGTCCTGCCCAAATTTACTCCAACGGTGAGCAGGGAAGAAATAGCAAGTCATTCTTGTCTCTTGCAGGACCTCAAGCCAGCAGAGACCATCAAAGAGGAACTGTCAAATTTCAGAGTGCTCCTGGGCAAACCCAGAGAAACTGGTGCCACAGGACAGCTTTTCAAGAAATTTCATGGCATCAAAGCCAGCACTCAGCCTGGCTCAGGAAGAGCTCCAGCTCCTCCCTGCCCATCAGCACCACATCCTGCCACCCAGACACCCCAAAGCAGTGTGTTGTAAGAAGAGATCGTTACTTTCTGGACTTTCTCAATGATCCCAAGCAGAGCAAGCTGGAAAAGGCATTTCCTCTCAATATTTGCATGCTCCACACTCCTTGTCCCAAAGGCAAGAGAAACTGCTTGCACTTCTCCCGTGGGATGAATATGGAGCCGTGGCACTGAACAGTCACCTGTCCCCAGGGACAGAGCAGCACAGCAGCTGCTGCAGCAGCCACCAGCCCTGGCAAGAGGAGGAACAACCCCTCTGGGTAGGCAGGCAAGGGGTCAGGGCACATGTATTTCCACATTCCGGGACCCTCCTTCCTTGCCCCCCAGCCCCTCCTCTCCCCCTGGGGACTCACCAGCAGTTGGGCAGGTTGAGTGTTATGCTGGCCTGAATGTCTGCCCCGAAGCGCAGGTACCCCAGGACACTCAGGCTGATGTACAGGATGGTGACAATGGTCATCCCCACATAGAGGATGACTGGGAACTGCCGGGGCTTCTTCATCTTGTTCTCCAGAGGCAGCACCTGGGAGAGGAGGAGGAGGAGGTTGATGACAGAACAACAGGTTGCCCCCATCCCTCTATACCCCTCAGCCTCAAAAAGTAGTAGGGGCAGCCCCATGGCCATGGAGGCCAGAGAACCCAGCTGAAAAAGCCACTGTACTGAAGATCCGATTTCTGTGCTCACATTGGAGACGTTCACTTACTCCAGCAGGTCACCCATGCCCTTGCCTTAACGGTGGGACCTGCTCCCTGCTCTTGGCAGGAGCTGTGCCCAGTGCTGCATCTTGGGGCAGTGCCAACCACCCCATTCCTCAGGTGCATTACACTCTTCCACCCCAAAACAGCATGGCCATGCCCACTATGTTACACTGCCCTATTTTCCCCAGCAAATCCTGGAAGGATCAAGATACACTCTCCTCTCCTATCAAGTTTGTTCTGACACATTTCAACCAGGCAAGACAATAAAAAGAGGAAGGACAGAGATAACTCTTTCACCTCTGTACTACTAACACTAAATGCAGGCCTTCAGCCAACATTTTTATAGCTGTCCTTGGGTAGTGTGGATTTGAAGAGACATGGTGGCAAAGCTGGTGAGGAGGCAGGACAAGAATAGCTTTTATTTGCTTCTCCACCTCCAAGTCATGTGAGGAAGAGAGCATCTGTGCCTCAGTGCTGGCAAGACCCCTCTGCCCTGGGCATAGCATTCAGTAAACACTCCTCCAGTAATGGATTTGGCCCTCTCCAGCCCTGTGTTTACGCAGCCAGCTTATATTAAGAGATGAAAACATTTTTTTCTCCTTTGAAGGGAGCTCCCGGAAGCAACCCACAACATCTTGGGGAGTCATTAAGCTCTCCACCCACCCACCCAGCTTTTTTCACGGACACAGTTGGTCTATTTACAGCATCTTGTATGAGAGGCCCATGCAAATCCTGCCCCACGGCAGGCTGGGGCCACACAGCTGCCAAAGGGAGATCTCAGTGCCTCTGCAGCAGGGTGGGAAGGAAAGGATCACATCTTTTTATGCTGTGCTTTTTGGCCTCCCATTTGGGCAGCTTCAGGATCCAGCCTGGTAACAAGACTCAGGACAATTCCTCATCTATGGGTCAGCCAGCACAGCCCAAGGCAGCTGCCAGTGTGACTCCCAGTCTACTGCCAGATAAAGCCACTTTAGCAGCAACCAACCTCCTGAGGTTTGGAGCACATGCTCCTCCAACCTCAGATGGAAGCAGCAGGGTTTTGACCCAGGAGATAGCCTGGAGCCAAAGCTAACAGCATCACCCAGAATTTGGGCTACTGTCAGAGAAGTTCAGCTGCAAATGCAGCTGCAACACAGAGCAGGTGCTGTGGCAAGTCTGAGCAGGGCCTGAGGCTCCTGTGCAGCTCCTGCGCCACACGCCGAGACTCACCACGCCGATGCCTTCGAAAGCGAAGATCGCGGTGCCAAAAAACAGGGGGTAGGTCTTCCAGGCTGCTGCTAGAGGCAGGTCTCTGGGATCAGGAATGTCCTGGAAGAAAGCCCACGCAGAGTTCAGACACGGGGAGGATGGGGAAAGCCTGGCCCGCTCCCATCCCTCCCTGTGACAGCCCCACGCCGCAGGGGAAGCCTTGTGGAGCAGAGGGTAACCACTGTGCCCAGGGGAGCAGGCAGCACCCCACGGCAGGGAAACACCCTGCTGCTGAACTCCCTCCACGGGACAACCCAGACACGAGCGAGGGGAGCCCTTACACACGCACCCTGACGATGTACTGGTAGATCACAACAAGGCTGACAAGCATGGCCACGTTGGCCAGCATGGAGAAGACGGACAGGACCTTGAGATTCTGGATGAAGGTGAGCAGCACCACGAAAGGCAGGATGGAAAGCATGTACAGCCGGGAGTCCATGGTGGGGGTCATCACCACCGTCCTGTTCGAGCTGCAGTCATTGGTGGTGCCGTTTGCAGCAGAGACGACCTGGGGAGGCACGGGAAGGCCTGATGAACCCCACTGCACAGGCCTGAGAGCCACAGACTTTGGCAGACCATCCCAGGTGGGTGCCCCACCAGCTCACTTCAAACACAGTTAGCTGATTAAAATCAAAGCTACATGGGTTTTCAGTTGGTCTTGAGGAAAATCCCTGTTACCTTTCAGGGAGCAGAGGAAGACACTGAGCTACGGCACCTGAGTCAGGATAGCAAATCCTGACCAAGCCCAGGCTTGCCAGGCAGGAGAACCTGACAGCTGGGTGCAACCAGGGCAGAGGGTGGTTTGCACTGCCCATCAAGGCCAGTTGGGAAGAGAGGAAAGAGGCATCAAGTTCTGTTTCCTCAAAGATCCTTTTTCTCTTGCTGCATGAAAATGTCATCTGTCACACAGCCCTTCAGTCACCCAATGCCCTGTTCACATGCAAAGACATCTGAAAGATACTGCTGGGCCCCAACTTCGCTTTCTTCATGGGGAATCATCCTTTTCTTGGGGTCTTTCATTCCAAAGGCACTCCAGGCCATGTGCTCCCCTCTAGAGACAGTTTTAGCCCAGGAAGTGGGTAGCTAAACCATCCCCCCCAAGAGCATGGGCACACTGTGGATCACCAGTACAACCACGAACAAGATGGTTCAGGTACCAGGTCCTGTGTGGCCACTGCAGCAAAGGGCTGCCTGAAAACTAATTTAACCTGCTCCAGAGCAAGTCCTGCCCCTAGAGAGCTCTGCACAAACCACAGTCCTCTGTGGGAGAGGGCAGTGCAGAGCCATGCACCCATGGGACAGCGCTGCTCGAGCCCCAGCCTGCCCTGTCTCCCTGTGGCTTGCTCCAAAGCCATTTTCCAAACCAAAGCTCTGCCCAACACGGTGGCAACTCGCCCAAGGTACCACCTGCACCATGAGTCCCCATCTAACACGCTATTCCCCACCACAAAAAGAAACAAGCAACACTCCCCTCTCCCCACCCAAAAAATTCCAAAACTGAAGCCAAGGGTTTTCCCAGCTGTGGCCTAAAAAACGGGCTGGATTTGCAGGTTTCTGCAAATTTCCCTTGAAGCTTGAGCCAGCCTCTGCTGCAAGGGGCCAGAGCAGAAAGCACCCCTTGAAGTGGCAGCAAAGGGCTGTTCCCAGGGGGTGGAGGTCAGCAGCAGCCTGGCCCTGTGCACACACCCTGCTCCCTCCTGCTCTCGGGGCTGGCAGTGTCAGATCACCAATGTTCACCCATTTACTCCTCCCGGACATCCCACAGTGGGAGTCTCCTCAGCTGCTGCTCCCTGAGCAGAGGCAAAGGCTCCCACTGGCAGAGCCCCCACCTGCTCCCCAGGAACCACCTCTGGAGCCAGTGGCCATCAGGGAATTGCTGACCAAGGGCACAGCCATGGTGGCAGTGACCAGACCTGCTGCAAGAGCAGAGCAGGAACACACTGGGAACGAAGCTGAGCAGTGCCTGTGGGGCACCGAGCTGGTGGAGGCTGGGAATGAGGACTCATTATTCACAGTTTCTTACAGCACAGGAGCCAGCCAAGCGGTTCAGGGTTTCTGTTTATTTCCTCCTGATGCCTGGCAGAAGGAAACTCTTTCTCTAAAGATGTAATTAAGCGCCAGAGCCATGGGATGAGGAAAGAAACTGGAATGCAAACAGGTCCAAGGAAAGGAGAAGAGAGGTTCACAGCAGGCCCAGGGACTCACACCTTACTATCTACAACAATAAATCAATTAACTGAGAAGGGCAGGACAGCAAAAGTTGTCAACTCTCTGCTGTTGTTCTCTCACTAGAAATGGTCCCCATTTCCACACAGACAACCCCAGCACCTCTGTAAAATCACAGGGACTCTCAGGAAAACCTGCTCTGTTTGAACATAAAAACCAATCCTCCAAAGTATCTGGGCAGAGGAGAAGTACTTTCCTGAGCAGCATATCCTAAGGAAATGAGAGCTTTGGTGGAGAACAAGGGCAATGACAAAGGAGCAAAGAACAACCCAACACCCCCTTGCCTTCCCCTTGCTCGCGAAGGAGGGATAAGTCCAACCTGTCTCAGATTGTCAGCCAGAAAGACAAAGTACACACAGCAGAAACCCAGCTGAGTGATGATCAGGAAAAGTCCCACCATACGCCTGGAAAGCAAAAAAAGACCATTTGTCAGCCAGAACATACAGAAATAAGAGCCCACTTGGGTTTCTTGGGGTTGGACTGCAGCAATGCTGCTCTCCCTGGGGTTGGGGTGTACAGGTTTGGGGTGGACACTGCTGTGATCAGGAGAAAGGACTGTATCCCCATCCAACCTCACAGACCTCGGGGTCTCCAGTCTCCCCCTCCCATCCCTTCCATAGGGTCAGTCTCCTTTGGGTACAGCAACTCCAGTCTGCTGCTGAATTGTGACAGCAGGAGACAACCCTCCCTGGACACAGGAATGGGTGAATGTTCACAGCAGCTGATGTGCAATGTGTGATGTAATGTGGGACAAGGTGAGGAGCAGACACTGGACATGTTCCGTGTCCAGCAAGATTGGCCAGCACTGCAAGACACTATTCACTCCTTTGTTATGCTGTGGAAACTTCTCCCACTCCTTTAGTCACGTATGGTTGGGAACAGTTCTGGGTCAAGACCTCAGCGTTACCCTCTGGGGGACAATGAGCACACAGGGCAGGTGAGTCAAGTTACATTTTATGCCACTTGTGCTTATCTGTTCACACAGCTCATTGAACAATGGCTCTTCTGTCTCAGCTGCAGCACATGCTGGTCCTGAAGACAGGGGAGCAGGTACCTTCCCCAGATGGCATGTGTCCGCAGCCATGCGCTGGGAGTTGCCTCCAGCCCGTACATCACGGCACCTCCATAGTCCACAAACTGCTTCTGGAACCTGCCCGGAGAAGAAAGACAGCAGGGACGTTAACATCAGCCCTGTCTGCTAATTCCCAAGGCAAATGATGACACTAACATCAAAAAAAGAAACCCAGTAAAACAGAAAAACAGTTCCTGTAAAAAAGTGCAGCAGTTCCAAACTGAGGCTTTGACATGGACAACTTGCTGCTGGGGGGCTTCAGAACAAGCCCAGGGCTTCTCGGGCAAGAAGGAAGAACTGTAGGAGCAGGAGAGCCGAGAAGGGGAGTTGCTCCTTACCTGTTGCAGAAGTGATGGGCGCACTTCACCAGGATGCCCATGCAGTGCACAGCCACGACTCCCATCACCAGCAGGCTCAGAGGACCCAGCTGCAGGGAAGAGAGGGGGAAGGCTGCACTCTGACGGCCAAAGGCAGAGCTGCATGGTATGTTTTTACTTCCAGACCGAACTCCACAGGCTGGGTGAGTGGAAACACCGCTGGAGGAGCTTGGGTGCAGCTCCAAGGAACAGGCCCCCCAGGACCGAGTAACCTGACAGAGCCACGAGCTTGGCAGGAATGATGCAAAAGAAGCAAGTTGGGGCAGTTTGGGTGTAGCAAAGCACTTCCAGGACTGCTTTGCAAACTATCTTGCGTGTTCCTATCATAAGGGTAAAGAAGAGGTCACGGTCTGGACCCAGCGCCCTGCCTGACCCCACACAGGAAACCACAGCCCCAGCTCACATGTGAACTCCTGCACACCGGGCAGCACAACACAGGAGCAGCAAGAACAGTCTCAGCAGCAAAGCCACAGAGCCCAGCGTGCAAAAGTCACCAAGCACTGAGAGGCAGCTGGGCAGGGAGTCAAGCCCCAACAGTGGCCATTCAAGCTGCCCAGCGCCCGGGGGTCACCCTGGCCCTTGAGCTCCAGCACAGCAGGGCTGAGCTGCCTTACCAGGATGCCGGCATTCTTCACAGCCAGAGGCAGCCCCAGCAGCCCCGTCCCGATATTCCCCTTCAGGAGGTGGATCAGGGTCTGGTACCAGCTGAGGGAGAGAAGATGCAGAGGTGACCGTCAGCACCTGGACCATTCACACTCACATTCACATTCACACTCAGCTCATCCTGTTGAGAGTCCACAGAAGATCTGAGCTACTTCAGGGAATGCATGTGGAGGTCTTGATCCTGTCTCCTGAATCCAGCTCAGCCAGGTGGGACCAAGGAAGGTCTGAAGGCAAAGACTGAACAAACAGATTTTGGGCAGGCATTTGCAAAACCAGCTTCACGACAGAACCCAGCACAGGCACAGCTCAGCACCAAGGCTGCACAAGGATGTCTCTGAATTGAAGGGATCAATCCTCTCGAGAGATAGCATCCTCTGCCCACCTGGGCATAAGGAAGCCCCCACAGCACAGCTGCAACATGCCCACATGTTCTCTGAAACTGGACATGCTGTTTGCTTGCCACAGCTCCCCATCAAACCAAGCTGGAGTGAGGGAATATTAGGAAAAGCAGCAATCCCTGCCTGCTGCCAGCAAACCCAGCTTCACTAGGGAGCAAAGAGCAACACTGGGGCAGCTGCTCGCTTGCCGCCAGCACCCCACAGAGACAGCACCACAGCTCTGCCCTGACCACCCCCTGGAGAGCTCCCCACAAAACCACGGCTCCACCATCTCCCAGCAAAGCCGGCAGGGAGCCACCAGGAGCTCCTCCACCCTCGCCAGGGGCTGGGCCGGCCCGGGAGGGAGGGAAGCATCACTCACGTTGTGCCGTTGGTCTCCCCAAAGCGCTGGTAGGACTCAGGGTGGGCGAAGCCGTTCATGCCGTCGGGTGGGCTCCCCTCGGGCGTGACGTCCGTGGAGCTGTAGTCATTGTAGTCCTCGCTGCGGAGGCGCCGGGTGGACATGGTCCCTGTGGGGGGAGCGGCATTAGGGGTGCCCAGCTCCACACCCCCCTTCTCGGGCTCCCTGGGGTCAGCCATGGTGCAGAGAGACCGGCTCGCACTGCCAGAGCAAGGTCTCCTCCGGGGCTTTTATAGAGCCCCGCGCTCCCGCCCAAGCAATCACAGAGCTGGCATGTCCTAAGGTCAAGGGTGCATGGCACGTTCCCACTGGCTCTTTCCACAGGCTCGTGCCCACAAATTGGGCACACCCAGACAGGATGGGGTCAGGATCCTGCAGGCAGGGCCTGGATGTGCCCCACTTCATGTCAGGCAAAGAGCACATCTGCGCTCAGGGTGGCGAGTGTGGTACCACAGGACAAGCTGGCACAGTGTCCCCAGCCCTGGCTCTTGAGACTGGGACTGTCAAGAAGACGGCCAGGAAAGTGCAACTGTTCTTAACCTGCACACAGTGGGCTGCAAGGGAACAACTTGCTCTTGCCAGGGAAGGGAAAGTTTCCTAACTTCCTTTTTTTTTTCCCTTTTTTTTTTTAATCAAGACTTTTTATTAAAAATAATGAAAAGAAAACTGATTAGACTCCATCAGGCAGGAGCACAGACCATGAGACACCACAACATCCACCCTAAAGGTTTCATAGCCAAAGAGGTCCCTACAGGACTAAGGGGCTTCCCAGGATGAGGCACCTGCACAGCCCGGAGCTCTTGCTCCAGTAGAAACCCCAGCAGGGTCCTGCAAGCCAGGAGCATGGGCAGAAGCCCTCACCAAGGACAGACACCCCCGCCTTAGTCTGGAAAACAGTCACCTGATTCAATTCCCACACGTGCCACACCCAGCACTCCAAACACCCAGTGGGAAGGAACACCAGAGGCAGAGGAATTACCTATCAGGCTCTTGCATCACACCCTGGTGAGCCAGTCCCTGCCCCACAGCTCTTCTGGGCTGTCATGCCCCAGGCATCACCCCTGCCCCAGCAGTCCTGGTGCTCCATATCCTTTCTCTGCAGCACTGGTGGGAAACTGGGACCAAGAGGAAGCAGCAAGGAAATGTCATTACTGCAAAAAACCGGCTCATTTCCTGCCGGAGCTCCTCGTGCACCCGCCAAGTCACGCGAGTGCCCGCCGGATGCAGCCCCAGCACAGACCCACACATCTGGCTGTGCAGGGAAGGCTCAGCCAGGCCACTCGGGTGCTTCTCCATCCCCCAGAGCCCCAGGCATCCCCCCGGAGCACTGCTCTGCAAACCTGGCTGGTAGACGGGAAACAAGCCAAGAGCTGCATCTGCTGGAAGGGTCCAGCCTGGAGATCGGACGGGAAGCAGGGAGCAAGGGTTTCTCCTCAGCTCTGGATGCTCCAGATCCCAGTTGTTCTGGAGCAGTTATCCAGGCCACACCAAAGCTGCTGTATTTCCTGCAGCAGCAGGCAACCCTGGCAGCAGGAAGCAGTGGTGTGTCCCATGGAATGCCAGCCTCTGGAGCAACGGTGAGGCCAGCTGCAGGCAGGAAGGCACTCCAGGGCCACAGGCAGTACATGCATCACTCTTGTTCAGCCTCCTCCCTTGCAGCTGGGATGTGTAATCACGCCCTGAACCGGCTCTGCCGCAGGTAGGGCGATCCGGCGAGGCCGGGACCAGGAAGAGCGGCAGCAGGAGTTTACACAAGGAAAGCGTTACAGGCTGTTCGTCATCGGTGGCAGGCCCAAGGGCCAGGGGAGAGACCTGGGAGGCTTTGCCGAGCACCGAGGGCTGGCAGTGGGCGAGGAGAGCAGGCAGAGGGGGTGCAGGGCCAGGTCAGGCATGGGCACCCACCCCCAAAGATGGCCTGCACAGCATCTGAAGCACCCAACAGCGATGTCTTCCAGATAAACACAACACGCTGACATCACTCTGCCTGATTGCTTCCCTGTGGATTTTTTTTTTTTTTTTTTTTCCCCAAGCAGGCCCATCTGCTTTTTGCTTTGAAGAGCCAGAGAAATGCGCTCATCGTGACTTGCCTGCTTTGTGTCTGGATTAAAGGTTGCGTAGCAGCGGGGAGCGAGCACTCAGCTCCCCCGCAACCAGCAGGAGAAAAGCTGCAAAACTCGTCTCATCCACACGATGAATATTTCAAACCAAAGCAAAACCCCACTACAGCATTTCCTCGTCACTGCAAACAGCAAAGACAGGAACATTCAGTTTCCACTTCAAACCCGACTCCTCAGCCGCTTCCATGTGAGTTATTCTTCCCCATCTACACACAGGAGCAATTTCACTGTCATAAGTGAAGCCCCTACAAAAGCTGGGGGGACAGTGACAGCAGTTTGTCCCTTACAGTGATGCCCCATGCCAGAAGGCAAGAACAAGACGTGTCTTGCTGCTGACCCTGACAGCTCTGCCCAGCTGAGCCGGGCTGTGTGCACACCGGGAAATCTTCTGGAAAAGTGAGCTTCACATCACAGCTCACTGCCGCTTCCCATCGTGCCTGTTAAACCCTTTATTTCCAAAGCACCGCTTGTGACCCACCCCAGTGTGACCCAGGGGAGAGCTGGCGCTGCCACAGCCCCCTCCGCTGCCTGCAGGGAGGACACCATGCCCAGCACGACACCTCCCAGTCCCAGCATCAGTCCTCTTGTCCCTGTGCTTCCCAACGCTCCCACAGCTCCAAAGACACTCCCAGACTCACCTTTCCAAGGTTTCACAGCATGGCCTGGTCCCCCCAGCCCAGCATCTCCCCATACAGAGGAGGGGAGTTTGCTGGGCACAAACCCTCCCCAGTTCCCACAGCTGCCCCACGTCCAGAGTGGGGATCCCTCTGCCCTCCTCCACTGCCACACAGCACCCCACACCCTGGTGCCCACTGCAGGGGGCTGTGTCCCCCTACACGGCATCCCCAGACACTCCAAAGGAGAACGCCATGAATGCCAGCACCCTGTAGGGCATCACCAGCACACCCCTGGGTGTGGGCTCCGAGCACCCTGAAGCACCTCTGCAGGCTGCCAGCACCCCCAGGGGACTCCTGAGACACCTCTGCAAGCTCCCACCACACCCCTGCGCCCACTCAGGCTCCGAGTATCCCACACACACGGTCACACATCACCCCCGAATTGCCCTGAGCACCCACGTGTGCTGCCAGCTCGCTTCTGCAAACCCAGAGCCCATGCCACCCTCCAGCACCCCTGGGGACCCCCGGACACCCACGGGGGCTGCCAGCACCACCAGCGACCCCCGGACACCCACGCCATCCTCCAGCATCCCCAGGGAACCCCGAGCACCCACGGGCGCTGCCAGCACCCCCATGCTCTGCGCCCCCGCCCGCGCACAAGGGTTGCCAGCGACCCCCCGAGCTCCCCCGAGCACCCACGCGTGACGGCAGCACCGCCAGCACCCCGCGCACTCGCGCCGGCTGCGCGCCCTCCGTGTGCCCGGGCCCCGCGCGGGCTGACAGGCGGCTGACAGTCCGCTCCCGCACCCCTCCTGTCCCTGTCCCTGTCCCTGTCCCAGTCCCTGTCCCTGTCCCGGTCCCGCTCCCCGTCCCGCACCTCTCGGCCGTCCCGCACCCCCGGCCCCGCCGGGCCCGCTCGCTCGGCCGTCACGTGACACGCGGCTCAGCTGAGCGCGGCGCCTGCGCGCGGGCAGGGGGGGCGGGGCCAAGAGCGGAGGGCGGGGCGGGACTGGCGGAGGCCCGCGGGGGCGGGGCCATGGGCGGTGGAGGGCGGGGCCAAGCGGGGCGGGAGCGGGCGCTGGCGCCCCCTGGCGGGCGGGCCGAGTGTGCCCGAACGGGACAAGGGACAAGGTGGGGACAAGGGCGGGGGGCCGAGCCCCGAGCCCAGAGAGGGGCACCGGAGCTGGGGGAGGGCCCGCAGCGCAAGCCCTGGGAGGAGCGGCTGCGGGAGCTGGGGGTGGATAGCCTGGAGAAGGCTCGGGGGTGACGTTATGGCTCTCTGCACACACCTGACAGGAGGGTGTAGCCAGGTGATGGGTGGGCTCTTCTCCCAGACAACCAGTGACAGGGTAAGAAGATACGGTCCTAAACTACGCCAGGGGAAGTTTAGGTTGGACATTAGGAAGACCTTCTCCATAGGGAGGGTGATCAGACACTGGAAAGGGCTGCCAAGGGAGGTTGGTGGAGATGCTGACCTTAAAGGTGTTTAAGACTGCACGTGGTACTCAGTGCCATTGTCTGGTTGACATGGCAGTGTTAGGTCAAAGGTTGGACTCAATCATCTCATTGGTCTTTTCCAACCTAATTGATTCTGTGATCCCCTACAGCAGGGCTGTTCCTTGGGCAAGGCATGCAGAGTGATACTGGTGTCAGGATTACAGATGGTTGCTTGGAGGAGCGACACTCCCTGAGACCCCCATCATGGGCTGAGCCCCCCAGGGCTGTCGCCTGTGTCCCCATGTCCAAAAGCAGTGCTTGCAGATCCCTGCCCCTCACACAGGAACTGGCCTTGGGGCTGCTCACACTCAGCTCCCCTGACTGCAACATCCTCCACCACTGCCCCCACACCAGCCCCACCACCTTCGCCTCTTCCAGCTAACATCCCCATCCCCACTATTCCAAGGGAAACAAATGTCGCCCCTACGTCACCCTCAGCACCAAGAGGCACCAGCTCTGCTTCCTGGTAAAAAGATTTATTAAGAACCTGCAGTACCTGCCCAAGAGGAGGCTGCTGCCATGGCACAGGCGCTGGCGGGGAGCAGGGACACAGGGTTAGTGCTTCTCCAGGCAAAGCCATGGGAGGAAACCAAGCAAGTGGAGGGCACAGAAAGGCAGTGGGAGCACATCTGTGTGGTGCAGGACCCCCCGCAGCAGTTAAGGCGTATAAAGTGCTTGTAGGAGACCAGCCCTACTGAGGGGCTAAATAACACAAGCAGGCAGGGACAGAGTAAGGGATGTGGGTGGCTGGTGGGTCACCTGCACCACTGCCCTCTGGGCACCTCTCACAGGGGGTGATGTCAGACTCACGCCCTGCCCAAAGCTGCAGCAGGAAGGATGCTGCCTGCCCATGCCACGGTCCCCCAGCCAGAGGAGGAGGTCCCCAAATAGGAT